CTTTGTTCTTTTTTTGGATTTCTGCAAAGCCTTTGACCGAGTCAACCATTCCTTCATGTTAGACACGTTACACCATTTTGGCTTTGGAACAAAGTTGTGTGAAATTGTTCAAACCTTATACAGGGATATTAATAGTACTGTACTGTTGCCATCTGGAACCTGCAAACGTTTTAACATTGAAAGAGGCATCCGACGGGTGTCCAGCCTCCCCTCTTCTTTTTATCATGGTCGTGGAAATTCTCAGCATCATGATTAAGAATAGTCAGATAGAGAAATTAGATGTTTTTGGTAATTCGTTAGCTATAATTCAACTGGCAGACGATACTACGCTCTTCCTTAAAAATAAGGAACAGATCCCAATTGCTTTACAAGTAGTTAGTTGTTTTTCAGAAGCCTCAGACCTTTATTTAAACATAGATAAATGTGAATTAATGGCCATTCATAATCATCCTCAAATAACTGCATGGCATACCTGTTAAAGATCAAGTCAAGTATTTGGGGATTACAATCTCAAAAAACTTAGAAATGAGAGAAAAATGTAATTTTGAGAGCTTAATTAAAAAGAGTAAAAGTATTTTAAACATATGGCTACAAAGAGATCTCTCAATTTTTGGTAGATTACTTCTATCCAAGATGGAAGGATTGTCAAGAATTATCTATCCGGCTTATTCTCTAAGAATTCCTCAAAATATTATTAAAGAAATTAACCAAAACAATTTTAACTTTATATGGAAAAACAGACATCATTATATAAGAAGGAATGACATCATCAAATCAATAGAGGAAGGGGGTCTCAATGCAATCGATTTTGATATAATGAATGGTGCACTTAAGTTAAAATGGCTACAAAATTTTATAAAGAATATAAATATGTTGTGGTTTAATCTTCCTGCTAAAATTTTCTCCAGTGTAGGCGGAATCCAATTGCTTCTTCAATGTGACTTTGAATTATCCAAACTCCCTATTAAGTTATCCAAATTTCACGAGCAAGTTCTACAATATTGGAAATTAATGTACACACATAACTTCACACCGCACAACACGCCAATATGGAACAACCGTTATATCCTGATTAAAAGGAAATCTTTTTTTTTAATGATTGACATCTCCATGGAGTATGGTCCATTTTGCATTTGATGGACCAGAATGGAGAATTTCTTAATTTTACGGCTTTCAATCGCAAATTTAACCTAACTTGTTCTTCTAAGCAATATGCCGAGGTAATCAAGGCAATCCCACCAGCTATATATGCTAATTTGAAAGGCACTTTGTTGTACTCTCACCTTATTCCAATAAGGCCTCCTTTAACAATTAAGAACTGTTCTTTTGTGGACAGGAACTGCAATAATAAAATCCTTAGATGTTGGCTCACTGACGTCCTCTTTCCCTTACCTCTTAGAAGACAGGAATTAGTACGTCAATTTAGTAATTCTGATGTTAAAAACATTAGATGCAACTATCTCAAATTCTCAATCCCTCCTAAAGCCAAGGAAGTTCATTTTAAAACTATAAACAGTATTTATCCTTGCAAAGATTTCTTGCAGTCTAAATTTAATATTGGAGAGAACGACTGTGACTTTTGCACTTCTAATATAGAAACTGAGATACATTTATTCTTCACATGCATCTTTACCAAATGTTTCTGGGATAGTTTTCACTCGTGGTTAACGCATAACAATTTCATTATACGCTCCTTATCTTTTTCTGACATCAAGTATGGTATTATTTTGGAAAATAAAATGCAGCAATTCACTGTCAATGATTTGATTATTTTCGCTAAATTCTTAATACACAAATGTAAATTTGGCAATATCAAACCGATCTTTATTGTTTTTTTAAAAGAACTTGCATACTTTATGGATTGTCTTAAATTATGTAGTTCCAAGAAAGCCATTTGGCTCTATAACAATTTGGTGAATGTTTCCTTTACCCCTAATGTTGTTTGATGTTATATATAATTTTTTTTTTGGTTATGATTTCTGCAGGTTGATATTGAGCTAGGTTAATATTATTGTTTCTGTTTGTACACCTGCTTTTTTTTTTGTTTTGTCATGCTCAGAATTCAACTGTAAATACTGATTCTTATGTAAGCCTGTAAGCTTCATTGGTTAAATAAAACTTGTTTAAAAAAAGTTTATATTTAACTATATTTAAACAGCTTGTTTCCTGGTTTAATATCGAGTCCAATTACGGAAAGAACAGCGAAAGTAATCAGCAAGGTCTAAAAAAAACAAGTAGAAAAATATTTATTTGTTGTGTTCAAAAAGCTTTTGGTTTTTATTAAGTTTTGAAATCGCTAATTGTAAAATATGTAAACTACCATATGTATTTACATCTTAAAGATTAACAGAAATATATTTGATCGTTTTCCACTGTTTTTACAATTTTTTTTTATCAGCTCCAACAAATTGAAACAAGGAGCTGTGCCGCTGAATGTCCACCAGATGGCGCCGTTTCACCGTCTAGTAAAGAAAAGCAGACCCTTTCAGCCAGTGGAGACAAAAAATCCCTTCAGGACAATGAAGAGCAGTAGAAACTAATGTCGAGGAAAAAGCTAAAGCTAGCTTCTGTGTGACGAAGATGAGTCTAACACTCTAGGCTCGTGATTTAAGACTTGTTTGGGTAACTTAAAACTAGTAAACTATAAACATTAAAGTAAAATATAAACAATAAAAAATGGTCGTAAAGGTAACAGACGCCCTCTAGCGGACAACTGAATATTACATAAACAACAAAAAAACTGTCATGGCGGCTACCTCCAGGCTGACTGGTCACCGGTTAGTTTATATTTAACTACTTTATTTAAACAGCTTGTTTCATGGTTTAATATCGAGTCCAATTACGGAAAAAACAGCGAAAGAAATCAACAAGGTCTAAAAAAAAACAAGTAGAAAAATATTAGTTTATTTGTTGTGTTCAAAAAGCTTTTGGTTTTTATTACGTTTTGAAATCGCTAATTGTAAAATATGTAAACTACCATATGTATTTACATCTTAAAGATTAACAGAAATATATTTGATCGTTTTCCACTGTTTTTATAATTTTTTTTATTTATCAGCTCCGACAAATTGAAACGAGGAGCAGTGCCGCGGATGTCCACCAGATGGCGCCGTTTCACCGTCTAGTAAAGGTAAGCAGACCCTTTCAGCCAGTGGAGACATAAAAATCCCTTCAGGACAATGAAGAGCAGTAGAAACTAATGTCGAGGAAAAAGCTAAAGCTAGCTTCTGTGTGATGTGAGTCTAACACTCTAGGCTCATGGAAATTACACATTACAAATTCTTTAAAGTACATTTTCTTAAATTGACCCAAATTTAGTCAGAAATTTTGATAAACTCAAAATAGCAACACTTAAAATTTTATCACTTCCACATTAAGTGTTAATAAAAACAAGAGTCAAGCAGCTCTTTTTAAAAAGATGATATATTACAGAAACACGATTTTAAAATTACTTACAGACGTAAAATACTTTTTTCTTCAGCACCATGTTTGTGTTGAAATGTCTTCAACACAATGAAAACAAATAGTTGAGGTCATTTTCTTTAAGGGACAGATTCTTTATGTTCTGACTGTCCCACCAGTTAATTATATAAAAAATTAAAACAAATAAAACTAAAACGGCCCCATAGAACCAGAAATCACTTTTCACTCAGTCCCTGCTGACGGATGTTCATCTCCACCGTGTCACTGCTCTTCTCTCACCCTCACTCCTCTCTAAATATTAAAATAATTAAGATTTTATTTAATAAATGTAGTTCGGTTTCACTAAACACAGGAACAAACCTGTTGAGTCAAACTGCAGCAAGAAAACAGGAATGTGAGAAGTGGAGTCACCGTTTAATCATGGCAGTGGAAACAGCACAGTACAGATGAAACTAGATAAGGGAGGGATTACAGTTTTAGTCACGGCCAGATTCTTTGGTTGGTGGAGGTGTGAACAGAAGCATCACAGCTGTGCAGTCGAGCTGCATCAAATAAATACAACTGAAAGTCACGTCTGCTAGAAATAATCCTCGGTTCTTATTTTAATCTCAAAGCACCCAGTTGGTTTTAAATAAATACAATAGAATATCACTATTTCTGTACAAATGTAATGCACATTTCCCTAGAAGAGACTAAAATGGAGGACTTTATTTTATAGAATTAGCACCTTTCCACAGTTTCACTCAGTAACGTGTGCATTTTTATTCTCTGCTGCAGGAACAGAAAACATCGGGTCGGGATCAGCACCGGAATACTGAAGTGGTGTCTGGAGGCCACTCAGGTACGTGATGGCTTTAGTCTCGCTTCACCGTCTCTCTGGTCTCACTAACCTTTAAAAAGCACCACATATATATATTCTAATGATCCGTTTGAGCTCTGAGGCACAATGTTAGATAATAAAGCTTTTAGAGCAGAAAGACAACTCCGGTCAGAGCCTGATGGTGGCATGTGGTCCGTTCCCTGCTTGCTTTATTAGAAGTGACAGGATGTGACGTAACCGATGCTTAGATTAGGACAAATCTGGCTTTAGAAGAATAGATTCGGGTGTGAAACTGTTGGTCCTGTTGCTGCATGTGGGAATTACAGAAGTAGGATAACGTCTGATCGTGGACCTTTTCTTAAAGAGGAGGGGAGGTAGAGCAGGAAGTGGATGAAGGTGTCAGCAGGGAGGAGTAAGCCTGGGTCCAGGCCCGTTGAAGAACACTTTGTTTGATTCCCAGGAACGTCGTTCTTCCTGTTTATTTTCCTCCCAGTCGATGTTTCCTCTGTTTGGTCCATGTTTTGCTGGGAGGGCTCCAGAGGCATGTAGGCGAGTGTGTGTGTGTTTATATCATTTACAAATTACTGGGCCTGTGTGTGTGTGTGTGTGTGTGTGTGTGTGTGTGTGTGTGTGTGTGTGTGTGTGTGTGTGTGTGTGTGTGTGTGTGTGTGTGTGTGTGTGTGTGTGTGTGTGTGTGTGTGTGTGTGTGTGTGTGTGTGTGTGTGTGTGTGTGTGTGTGTGTGTGTGTGTGTGTGTGTGTGTGTGTGTGTGTGTGTGTGTGTGTGTGTGTGTGTGTGTGTGTGTGTGTGTGTGTCAGTTCAGCCTTGGAAACAGACAGGTCCAACTTCAAACCCAAACTGCTGGTTGCTCTCCCCAAAGTCTGACACCTTGATGTCCAGCAGAGGGAGGTGCTCCACCTGAGGCGTGTTGATCTCCAGGACCGTCCTGTCGAAGCCTTTCCGGTACTGTGGAGAGAGACGGGACACGCGTCAGATTTCCAGGTGAACCCGCCCAGAACACACACTCAGAATCAGCTGTGAACTCACGGAGCAGCCGTCCACCAAGGCTTTGATGTAAGGGCTGGTCTTGTAGCTCAGCTCTTCCTCGTTGGCGCCTCTGAAGTGCAGCGCCCTCTTGTGGTTGTTCTTGGCGCTTCGGTCGGCCCAGGCCACGGAGCGGTGGCAGTGGTAGGTGAGGTTCTGACGGGCCTGGACGCTCAGGAGGCGCAGGAAGCCCAGCTGGACCACGCCCACGGGCTCGCCGTTCAAATCCACGTAGGAGAACTGAGATCAGAAAGTAAACGAGTGAAGGTCATGGCGGCTGCCATTTTTAACCTCTCCGAGTGTTACTGACCTTGCTACCAGTGGTGAACTGACTGTACCACGACCCTGGAGTCTCTTTGTCCCAGGAGCTCATCTTCACCTGCAGTCAGAAAGGTTCCCGTGGCATCAGTTAAACCAGTTTAGTTTGATGTTTCTATGATGATTTAGGTCTGACTGACCGTGTCAACGTCTCTGGGGTACAGGCACGTCTCTCCTTTAGTGAAATTACAGAAGACCTTGAAGGAGTCTCTGGAGCAGCCTTGGTTTGGGTCAATCCAGTACTCTCCTGCAGAAAGGTGAGAAGTTACAGAAGCTCTGGTGTTGTTTGTGTTGGTGGCTTTTACTCTAAAGGAAACCGAAAACAACCCGGATAAGCAGCATGTGATCCTCTCACCATCCTGGAGGTCCGGCTGGCTGAGCTGCAGGTCCTGGCAGGTGCGAGCCGGACTGTCCCGAGTCCCCAGAGGGAAACGCATCGTTTCGATCTCCTGCCTTAGTGAGTTCAGGGATCCGAAGATCTCCTCCATGCCTTCACTGCCCATCAGGAACTCCGTACCAGCGGTGTCGGAGGCTGGCGCGTCGGGGTCTAACTCAGGCAGCAGCTGGCTGGCATCGATGGAGCGTTTAGTCTTGGGACTCCTCAGAATGGGCAGAGGCTGAATGGCCTCGCCTGGGGGACCCTGGCACAGAAGAATCTAATTTAACTCAGACTTTTATGAAGTATTTAAACAAGTATTAAACTTACAGGAGGCCCAGGAGGTCCTTGCACACCCTTCTCTCCCTTTGGACCTGCTCCTCCCTAAAGCAGAAAGATTTTAGAATCAGCCATTTAAACAGTTTGTTAACACGCCTCAACTAAAGCCGTGCAAACACCAACTCACACTGGAGCCCTTTGCTCCTTTGACACCTTGCGGACCCTGAAAAACAGAGCAGACGTCAGTTTTCCAACAATAACAAGAAGATCTGAATAAGATGGTAAAAAACTCACAGGAAGCCCAGGAGGACCAGCAGGACCCAGAGGTCCAGTACCTCCAGCCATGCCCTGTAGGGAGACACGTTTTATAATAAACGATAACAGGCGTGGAGCTGCTGCTCATGACGTTAACTCACAGGTTCTCCTTTAGGTCCAGTGGATCCATGAGGCCCAGGCATGCCCCGGTCTCCTTTCTCTCCCTGCTCTCCTGAAGGTCCGATCAGACCGATGAGACCCTGGTGACCCTTCTCACCCTTTGCACCAGGATCTCCACGCAGGCCAGGTAGACCGGGAGGTCCCTGCAGCACATCAGAGGAGGAGGTGAGGAAAAGGTAAACTCACATTTAACCAACCAGCTTTAGTGAATAGTGATGATGTCATTGACTTACGATAGGTCCAGGTGGGCCCGTCTGTCCAGCAGATCCTGGAGATCCTTGCTCTCCCTGAAACATCAAACAGGATCAGCTGCTGGATTCTAACTAAATACAAACGCTGCCGATTCTGATTCCCAGGAAAACCCACCACTGATCCTGGAAGTCCTCTGAGACCTTCTGTTCCCGGTTTTCCCGGCTGACCCTGAGGACCAACAGGGCCGGTCTTCCCTGGGGGCCCGACGGCACCTGGATCCCCCTAAAGGTGACGAGAACCATCAGCGTGTTAATTTTCTACTTCTGCATGAGAAACTCTGTAGGCTTAAAGTGTGTTTTATGTTGTAATCCAGGTCCTCCGCTACCCAGCATGTTTTAGTTGTTTCTCTGCTCCAACATCTGATTTCAGTCAGCAGGGAAACACCTGAAACACGCTGGTTAGCAGACCTCCAGGAGCAGGAATGGCCATCACTGCTTTGGAGGCTGATCTGAATCTAAATGTGCTGAAATGTATAATTTTATTTTGACATGTTAAGAGTTTGAGTAATAAAAACACAAAATTAATGTAATTTATTAATTTGACTGAAGCTTAGAACAATGAAGCTGTTTAAACAAAGCTCATAATTCCCAGCTTTACTTTTGTAAATGTAAAATTACTATTTTTATGGATGGAAATGATTTACTTAACGGGATCAGGAGACGTCCTCTTTAACTCATTCACTGCATGTCTTTACTGTGTGGGCGTCGGACGAGCCCCCGCTCCGTGAGAACAAACATCTCGGCTCTAAAGCCGATCTTCATCCGCGTACGTCACACGTCACGTGATCAGGAAGCAGAACATCCATGTGTTAGGAGATCGTTTTGGGCCGCTGCTGTAAAAAAAGTGAGGCACGAACCGGAAAAGCGTCTGCCGATCACAATTCAACAACGGATCATGAAAGAACGGATAACACTCGAAATGCGCGGATTCTTCCTGATGTAAGAGGCGGGTCTCCGCTTTGTTTTGGTAGCTTTGGCGTTGACATCATCCTAGCGCGCAACGTCCTGTGACTCTTAAAAAACGGTGAGAAACGCCGGCAGCGAATGAGTTAAGGGTTTTCTAGTGTTTAAATCTGCATGTTGATCATCTGTAAAAACGACTCACTTTGGTTCCCTTCTCTCCTTGTCGGCCCTCCGGTCCTCTGGTCCCAGCAGGTCCCTGATGAATAAAATAGTTTAGGAATAATTTATCTATCGGATGCTTATTTAAAAGCGATAGGCGGATCCATCCATCCATCTGGGCTATCAAACTTTACCCTTTTTCCTGGAGGACCAGGTGGTCCGTTCTCACCGGGAGGTCCTGGAGAACCCTGTAACAGGAAATGGATCCATGAGATTTAGGGGACAAACCTGTTTGATGTTCCTGTTGCATCGTTTTACTCACCGACTCTCCTGCTTCACCGTCCTCTCCTCTCTCTCCTTTGGCGCCATATTGACCCTGAAGTCAAAGCCGATCAGGATTAGATGAGATGTTCGGTGGTGCAGAAGATGGTCTGTAAAACTAAAGACACTTACTCTGGGTCCAACCTCACCAGGAGCACCAGGATCTCCAGGGGAACCAACTGGGCCCTGAAATTACAAAACCAGTCACGATAAGTGACAGGTCTGGGTGTCTGGATGGTAGAAGAACTGCTTCACTGCGTCTTACTGGGTTTCCTTTGGGTCCATCATCTCCAGGTCGTCCTCGTCCTCCAGCAGGTCCAGCAGTTCCAGGTTGTCCAGCTTCTCCCTTCTCTCCGCGTTCTCCACGAAGACCCTGACAACGAGAACACGGCTGTTAGCTAACCGGTCAGCGGGGCATCAGAAGACTTTGGCTCACTCAGGTACTCACCTTCTTTCCTGGTTCTCCAACAACTCCAGGTGCTCCCGCCTCACCAGGCTCTCCCTGTGGAGCAAACACTGAATGTCTTATAGCAGCTATTTTATGAGACCATTAAAGTCATGCAGGAAAATCCTCCAATGCTGCACCTTCTCTCCAAGAGGTCCAGGATTACCCAAACCACCAGGAGGACCTTGAGGTCCCTGAAATGCAACCATGAAACAAATGTAATGAGAGACAAAGTTCCTACTAACAGATCTGACTTGGTAAAAACTACAGAAGCAACTAGAAGAGCTCCAAGCACTCACGTCGGCTCCGTTGGGTCCAGCAGGTCCGCGGGGTCCTGGAGGTCCAGGAGGACCCTGGAGACATAAAAAAGTTGTATTGCTGTAGAAGAAAGAAGCCACATCTCCAGTTGTTTTAAGCTCACCAATGGCCCAATGTCTCCGGTCTCTCCCTTCTCACCCGATGGTCCAGGCAGGCCCTGTAGACCAGAAGAAGTTTAACCAAAAACTGGTTAGCAGCTTAGCTCAGGAACCTAAACACGAGCGACTCCAACAGAAAACTAATTGTTTATTGGTTTTTCTTCTTTCACCTGAAGTCCGATAGGTCCCGGAGCTCCCGGGAATCCTCGAGTTCCTTCGTCACCTTTAGCTCCAAAAGGTCCCTGCTGCCCCCTTGGTCCCAGCTCTCCATCTGCCCCCTGCCCCACAGAGGAGATAAGAAATGGTATGCAGCCCACATCCAAGCACCAAATCAGCATTTTGATCTGTTTCTACTCACAGCAGGACCGGGTTGGCCAACTGGACCGTTTGGGCCAGGTGGACCAGGAGGACCCTAACATGAAAACACACATTTTACCTTTAAAACATGAATATTATTAATAATAATAATACGACACACGAGGGCTTCACTAAGTCACTCACATGCTCTCCTTTCCCCCCCTTGGCTCCCTTCTGACCGTGTTCTCCAACTTCACCCTGAAGACACGTTTTATCAAAGTTTGAGCACATACGACTATTATTGGTCAGGATAATAGATTCACGTTCATTTAGAATATTTAATAAGGAATATTACAGGAGGTTCTTTTTGCTTCGGACATGAAGGTGTTTCTAGTTACCTTTACATGTTTCGACCGTCGTCTGCGGTCTTCTTCAGAAGTCTTACAGATGTTTGTGTGACGCGTCTTTATCAGCTGTTCTTCCGGTGGGCGTGGCCAACCCGGAGCGGGCTGGTCTTTGGAGAAGGGAATCCCAGGTGCGAGACAGCTGATAGGCTCCCTCGTCTCTGTTCATGCTCCCGTTTCCTCATTTCTATTGCCTCCCTGACCCAACGTTTGAACCGGTTGTTCTCGGTGTTGATAATTTTCCCTTGATCCAAGTCCATGATGTGATTATTTTGTTTGCAACGATCTGACATGGCTGACTTGAGGGTTTGCTCCTCTGCTTTTTTGTTGTTGTCCTTGTGAGGCAACAGAAATAAGGAAACGGGAACATGAACAGAGACGAGGGGGCCTATCAGCTGTCTCGCACCTGGGATTCCCTTCTCCAAAGACCAGCCAGCGGAGGTGGGCGTGACCGTCCCGGCGGATCTGACAGATCCGGGTTGGCCACGCCCACCAGAAGACCAGCTGATAGACGCGTCACACAAACACCTGTGACACTTCTGAAGAAGACCGCAGACGACGGTCGAAACATGTAAAGGTAACTAGAAACACCTTCATGTCCGAAGCAAAAGGAACCTCGTTTAATATTTAAAAAGAGGACATAATGAACATTGTAAAGGATTTAATAAGGAATATCTATAATTAGGATCTAAAATGTCCCATAACTAAAATAATGTAGAAGTCGGTTTTGTGTCGACTGTGACTAAAGTCTTGGGACGGTCATGTGGAGTTACTCACCTTATCTCCATCCTCTCCAGGTACTCCAGGTGATCCAGCAGGGCCGGGCAGACCCACTGGACCCTGGACTCCATCCCGCCCTGCTGGGCCAATGGGGCCTTTCTCGCCCTGTAAAGGAGAACGTCTGAAGTTATTCCGTCTTTGGCTCGCCACGCCGAGTTAAAGGATATATTTTAGGTTTGTGTTACTGATTAAAAACGTCCTGATAACTCACTGGAACACCCTTCTCTCCAGCTTGTCCTGGTGGTCCTTGAGGACCTGGTCTGCCAGGAGGTCCCACAGGTCCAGCGGTTCCAGCAGAACCTCTCTCACCAGGAGAACCCTAGAAAGTACACATGTTGGTACACTTAACAGTGAGCGAGTACTTCTACCTTTGATTGGGTCTTCTGACATCAACATCAGCCTGACTCTGACAGAAACGACCTTAACCCTCAGGCTTCACTTTAACTTTCATACAAAAGAGTCATTAGAGGGCAAAAACGTCCGCTTGTAAGGGTTTTTTTTAGCTTTCTCGCCTGGGCAACATATGGAGAAATGACAGAATTTGGTGGTGAACAGTAAAAATCATAAATTTGACTACTTTTGTCCAAAATGAAACCATAACATCACAGAAAGCATGACTATTTGCTGCAGATGATGCAGGATCAAAAACTGTGGTTTGCATTGAAGTGAATGGGACGTTTTTGCCTCTAATGGCTCGAGTGTATAGTGAATTTTAAATCTGTTGCTATGTAAAAACTATAAATGTAAAAAATTCAAAATTTTAGATATTTCATAACATAATCAAGACTGATTGGAACTAAACACCCCCAGGCAAAAAAAAATGTCTTTTTTAGAAAATAACTCAGTTTTAGTGTTTTTTTCTTCTTCATAAATTACATCAATGACTGAGTATTCAAACTGGCATTTCAAGGGTTAAAAGCCTCAAAATGACTGATTTTTTTTATGTTTGAGCAGGGCTGAAGTTGTTCAACAGATGTGTGAAAAAAAAACATTAAAAAAAATTTTATAGCCACTTTTACAAGCGGACGTTTTTGTCCTCTAAAGTCTCGTGTTTCTTTCATAGTGTTCCCTTGGTCTATTTTAAAAATTCCAAATTTGTCCAGAGAGCGGTTTTGCGACAACATTTTTTACCGTATGCACAAACGGTGGTGAAATGGTGTCAAAACGAAAAACAAAAACTGCCCAAATGGACAAAAAAGTCCCTAACGAAGCCTGAGGGTTAAGTTTCATAAGATTGTTCAAAACATACAGCAGGTCCAGGAGGTCCAGCAGGTCCTTCGCTTCCCTTCAGTCCTCCACCACCCTGGAAGGAAACATCAAAAGATCTCATCACGGTTTCACCTGAGCTCCACTAAACCCTCTAGAGAAACATAAAGCATCAAACTCTGATGGTCTGAACTCGTTTCACTCACAGGGGTTCCAGGAAGTCCTCTCTCTCCAGGGAATCCTCTCAGACCAGGAGGCCCATCTTTACCAGGGCCTCCTGGAGGTCCGGGGTCTCCCTTGGTGCCCTCTTTTCCTGACGGACCAGAAAGTCCCTGCTCTCCTGGAGGACCTGGAGGTCCAGGGTGCCCACGCTCACCCATGGGGCCCGTTTCACCTGATGGACCCTAGGAGGATGGAGGGAAAAGACTAAATATGACTGCGTTGTTGCAAAAGCTGTGAAATGTTGGAACCGGATGGATTAACCCACCTGAGGTCCTACAACTCCAGGAGGCCCAGGTGGACCCACTTTACCTTGGAACCCCTGTAGAAGAAGACTTGGTGAACCTAAAGATGCAGCAGAACACCTTAAACTAAGTTTATCTACAAACTTACGACTTCTCCTCTCTGTCCAGGATGTCCAGGCAGTCCATCCTTTCCTGGTCGTCCCTGTGAAGTATTAGTTTACCTTAATTCCCCAAAAACTTCAGCTCCCATTTCAAAACAATAACCTAAGTCTTCAGCAGCAAAAAGCAGAAACCAGACTTACTGGAGGTCCCTTTGGTCCGGGGAAGCCGTTGGCTCCTTGAGGTCCGGGTAATCCCTGATCAGACCATGACATCGTATAAAATTAGAACATAAATTATAACCTAATTAAATCGTTTCATGATTTCCTGTAGCAGCAAATAAGAACTCACCCTCTCTCCAGGAGGACCAGGAGGGCCGTCACTTCCAGACGTTCCCTATGAGGAAATATAATATTTTAGGTCTGTTTGACACACAAAAATACTTTTAGATTATTGTATAAATAAGAAATTATTCATATGAAGATTTGATAAAAGGGAAAAGCGTACATTTGGAGAACGTTGCTAAGCCTGGGTGTTTCGATGTTTAGACAAACCTTTGCTCCTAGTTTTCCTGTTGATCCCCTCGGTCCTCTCTGCCCTCGAGGACCCTGGTGATCACAGACAAGAGTTAAAATAGATTTCCTGATCCAGAAAAAATTATAAATGCAACCAAATTAACACATTAAACCATGACGTGCTACTACTAGTTTACCCGTTTAATTATAGATCCACTGGGAGAAATACAATAAAGTTTATCTCTCACCAAATAGAATATTTACTAAAAAACCACAATGTAACGTGTGTGTGTGTGTGTGTCTTCTTGATCCCCAGTGAGTCGTGGAGGATGGCTGCTTACACTGAGCCAGGATCCTCTGGAGGTTTCTTCCTGTTAAAAGGGAGTTTTCCTCTCCACTGTCATTGCATGCTTGCTTAGTATGAGGATTGCTGTAAAGACTCTGACACTAGTCAGTGACTCGATGCAACCTGCTGGGTTCCTTATATAGGAAACTTTTTTCTGATTGGCTTAATGAACTGACCTGGATTGGAATGTTTACTGTGTGAAGGTCCTTGAGACGACTCTGGTCGTGATTTGGCGCTTTATAAATAAACTTGAATTGAATCATTATAAGCACAGTGCAACACCACCTAAACTGTTACTGACCAAAGGTAGTCTCTGCTGACCCCCAGTGGTTATAATTGTAACTGCACTGGTGCTAAATGTTGTCGACACAAATCAGCTTCTGTTTAGTTCCTCTGGTCTGACTAGGAGCTCTGAGTAAATGAGAACTTTACCGTTGGTCCTCTTTGTCCTCTTGGTCCTTGTTTTCCAGAAACACCCTGATTTAAAAAGAAAACAAGTTATAAACTAATAAAGCACGACTACGTCTGGGTAAAATCATCAATAGTTTTAATGTTTCAGGAAGGTAACTCCTGCTTTGATAACAAGTATAACAGCTCACCCGCGTTCCCTTCTCTCCATTAGAACCAGGAAATCCAGGGAATCCAAGAGATCTCTAAAAACAAACATCTTTATATCAGTAATTATAGAAAACATTAACTAACTTCTGATGTACAAGTGTTTATTTACCTTGGGTCCTTGTCTTCCAGGGTATCCAGGAAGTCCAGGTACACCAAGTTTACCCTGGAAAAATGTCAACGATGTCATAAAATGCACAAAAAGTTTATTAGCGGGTTTCAGGTAAATGTTTAGGTAGAAAAGGAGACAAGCAGCTAGTTTTACTCTCAGATGCTGTAGTTGTGTTATTGTGTCCTGCAGTAAATTTAGAGGAAACATGTTTAGTTTAATAAAGCTAAAATAAAACTTTAGAACAGGGGTGGGCGACATATTCTTATCTTATTTTCCACATCTGTTGATACTGATACATCACCATATAAAACTAATCAATATTTATCAACCTTTAATGTTCCTGTTTAACCTGTTAAACCCTAACACCACCCAACTGGGGGCCTCTACAGTTTCATGTCCCAGACATCTACAACTGTCCACATTCTCCAAACAACTACAACCACAATCAAACAGCCCAGATGGGAAACAAGGCCATTTTGATACAATGATGTTTGAACTTTATTTTAGAAGAGCATCTGGCCTTCTCTGGTGTCTGCTGGAAAAAAAACCTTGAACAAATGTAGATGAGGACCCCTGGAATAAATAAAACAATTGACTAAATTTTCTAAATGGAATTTGAACTCACAACCTCCATCCTGTCAGCACTTTCACACAGGGCAGCTCTTCTAAAATAAAGTTCAAGTATTATTTTATCTTAATGTATCAGAAACCAAAAAGAGCTTTGTTTACAATCTAGACTGTTTTGATTGTAGCTGTAGCTGTGCTCGGGTAATGCAAACAACCACTGACACTTGGGACATGAAACTCCAAAGGCCCCTGATTGGGAGGCGCCAGGGCCCAAAGAAAAAAGGCCTAGGGCCTAAAGTTATTTTTGATTTAAAGCTGCAGCGCGCACGTGTGGTCGTTAGAGGAACTGCAGTCAGCACAACGCACGCCCGTGACATTAAACCAGAAGTCCTGTATTATGTGACATCCTCTTTTAAAACTAATTAAAATGCCACAAAGTAAAAAATGTCACCCTTTTTTCCATAAACCACAAAAGGAAGTAAAACAATGAGCTCATCTTTATATTCTTCTCTGATTTAAACGGTCGTACCTTCTCTCCAGCAAGCCCAATTGGTCCGAGTTCTCCAGGAGGTCCAACACGACCCTTTGGTCCCTCTGGGCCATCTTCTCCTCTGGGCCCTGAAACTCCAATCTCACCCTACCAGTGAGGAACATCAGATAACAACAGTCACAATAAAGCAAACATGAAACAGGACTGAAACATCATCTAATCTTATCCACCACAAACTTATTAGCTATCATTTATTTTACCCTCTCTCCCTTGATGCCAAAATCTCCCTTAATTCCTGGGAAGCCATCTTCTCCCTACAAACAAAAACAGTTATCTGTCAATCGAGGATATTTAGGACATTTCACATGACTGATTTTAAGCGGTAACGCAGGAGTTACCTTCTCTCCTTTGTGACCCTTTAGACCGCGGATTCCTTGCACTCCCTGCAATCAAAACAAAATGTTTGGTGGTTTAATCTTTTTAAATATGACATGAAAAAACTTTAAAATATATCATTAACTCATTCACTGCCAGCGTTTCTCGCCATTTTTTAAGAGTCACAGAACGTTGCGCGCTAGGATGATGTCGACGCCAAAACAAAGCGGAGACCCACCTCTTACATCAGGAAGAGTCCGCGCGTTTCGAGCGTTATCCGTTCTCTCATAATCCGTTGTTGAATTGTGATCGGCAGAAGCTTTTCCAGTTCGCACCTCACTTTTTTTTTTTACAGCAGCGGCCCAAAACGATCTCCTAACACCTGGATGTTCTGCTTCCTGATCACGTGACGTACGCGGATGAAGATCGGCTTTAGAGCCGAGATGTTTGTTCTCACGGTGCGGGGGCTCGTCCGACGCCCACACAGTAAAAACATGCAAATGGCAGTGAACGGTTGGATTTAAAATGTTGACTTTTGTCATCATTGGCAGTATATGAGTTAATACACTGCTCAAAAAATAAAGGTAACACAAAAATAAGACTAGATCTGAATGTTCTTTAGCTGAACGTGCCGACAACAAACACAAAAATTATGAATGGAAATCAAACATAACCCACGGAGGTTTGGATTTGGAGTCGTACTCAAAATAAAAGTGGAAAAACAACAGGCGGGTCCAGCTTTGATGTCACGTCCTTAAAACAAAAGAAAATGAGGCTCAGTAGTGGGTGTGGCCTCCACGTTTGTACGATCTCTACAACTCTTGGGCATGCTCCTGATGAGGTGGAGGATGGTCTCTTGAGGGATCTCCTCACAGGGTTCTACAACCTCACAACATAATCGGTCATTCACTCATTCACACGCTGGTGATGATGAGCTATATTGTAGCCACAGCTGCCCTGGGGCGCATTGACGGCAAAGACTGCCACACACTGGCGCCACCAGTCTCTCCAACCACCACCATCAAGCAAGGCGGGTTAGGGGTCTTGCCCAGGGACACAACAGCAGCATTCTCTGGTGGGAGCCAGGATTGAACCTTGTAACTTACCAAAAGGTCAAATATTTCATCAGAAATTACCAGAAATTTACTTGTAGACACAAACTGCATCACACATCCAGGAATGCATCACATCTGTCTGGCAACGCCTTTAAACGTGTCAAATTCTGATTTGTAAACATTTGATATAGACAAGGATCACTTCCTGATCTAGTTAGTTCTTAAGAGTTCACTCGGTTTAGGCCGACCAGTGAGCAAGCATTTGGGACCACCCTCTTATCTGACCTCAGGTCAAAACATTGCTCTGCAAAGCTTGCAAGTGACATCAGACAAAACAGCCTCAGATGCAAAATAGACACTCCAGCTTCCTGCCGTCACCTGAAGGTATCTCAGACTAGATGGGTCATGCTCGGAGGTAGGGCTGCTCGATTATGGCAAAAATAATAATCACGATTATTGTGACTGAAATTGAGATCTCGATTATTTAGGACGATTTTTCAATTTATGTTGATTTTATTTGTTTTTATTCTGTCATAAAATTGCTCAGGGCACAATCAGGATAAAAATAAATAAGAAAAAAGATGATCACTAAAATAACTCCTGATTCCCAGTATAAAAAGACCAATGTACTTATAGCTCATAGTTTATGACCCAAGGGCTATAGACCTTGGTTTAACTCATTTAAGTCTAACCAGTACAGACCCAAATACCAATATCTTGCAAATTCTGACAGCAAGAATTATACAGAAGCATTTATAACAAATAAATGCAAATAAATTGATGTTCACAAAATGTTGAGTAACATTTATTTAGTCATGTCAAGGTGCTGCAGGAGAGTGCACTAGCACCGTGTCCTCAGAGAGATTAGTTATTATTTATCAGCGTGAGGAACTTATTTCTACCTTATTTATAAACTATGTATTTACAAGTCCATCAGTTAATGTAATAATTGTCCCAACCACAGCTGCACCCCCCACCCCCCCCAACCCGGTTTCACAGCAATCATGGGCAAGCTGTACGTGTGTTTAGCACGCGCACATTTAGCTGTTTTTAGCGGCTCAGGAGCCCGCAGTTACGGTGTGTGTCACTCACTCTGTTTAATCCAACAAAGAACTGTTTCTTTAGCGACCGACACATCACTACATCATTCCCTTTCCTAATGTCCTGATGAATGGTCCGGAGCGCAAGCGGAGTGTTTAGCTAACCTGCAGGAAATGTCAACGACAGTTATCCAGAAAGTAGCTAGGGGTCACCAGAGATGTTTCTGAGGTGTTCGCTAGACATTTTTACGATTTAAAAGTCAAGAAGGGGGTCTGAAATGCTGTTAGAAATAGCGTCAAAGTCGCTAAGTTGGCAACACTGTGGGAGGAGCGCTTCATTTGCAACTCAGGGCAGCGCAAGTGGGAGGAGCAAATAATCGGCTTGTTTTGTTTTTATAATTGTTCAAAACTCAGATCGTAATTGGGATTAAACTTCGATTAATTGAGCTGCCCTATTCGGGCACAACCTTCTGATAACTGGACAACCCCCTCAACCTCCTGAGCTACTGCTGCTACCTGGACTAAAACATCTGCCAGCTCCTGGACTGTCTGTGGTGCAACGTGGTGTTGGGTGGATGGAGCGAGACATGATGTCCTAGATGTGTTCAACTGGACTCGGGTCTGGGAAACGGGCGGAGCAGTCTATAGCATCAATGCTTTGCTCTTGCAGAAACTGCTGACACACTTTAGCCATGGGGTCCAACATTGTCTCACATTAGGAGGAACCCAGGGCCAACCGCATCAGCATGTGGTCTCACGGCAGTCTGACCACCTCTGGTGAGCACAACTCAGGTGTGTTCCCCCGTTTTCTTATTTTAATGCATTTTTAAAGTATTGGATATCGGCAGCCACTCATAATTAAGTGACATGAACAGAAAATGTGTTGGTATCTATGAACATTTTGATAAAATATTAAATAAATGTTCCGACCTTGATGCCACGAGGGCCAGGATAGCCAATGGCTCCTTGAGGACCGTTGGGACCCTGGAGATGATCAGGAAGATGAGTTAGAAGCATAAGACAACTAAAACCACAAAGATCTACTCTAATTATTCTAAATACACACAGAAAAAAGTTTAGGATGAAACATTAGGTGGTTTAAATCGACACCTACCTGGTTTCCTTTAGTGCCTGATGGACCCTCCTTTCCTGGGTGACCCTGAGAACAGAAAACGGGGCTCGAGTCTCTGGACAAATAAAAATACATAAAATCATATTTAATATTTTAAAAGGGAAACTTACAGGAGGGCCGTCCGCTCCAGGCATTCCTGGTAAACCCGGTTTTCCAGTGGGACCCTAGAAAGAAACACAAAGTGGTCATGAGCTTAATCTGAGTACCGTATTTTCTGGACTATAAGCCGCTACTTTTTCCCACGCTTTAAATCATGCCGCTTATAATGAGGTGCGGCTTTACTGAAGATTTTCCTTCACCTGCCACTAGGGGGCGCTTTAGCAGAAAGTGAAACAGGTGGAAGTCAAACGTGGAAATGGAAGAAAGTGCTCATTTTAATTTAGCACATGCAAGCAGCCGGCACGATCCATACCCCCTCATCATGGTAACTACACGTATGAGTTCATATGATGCCGCGTTTAAGTTGAAGGCCATCGATCTGGCAGTAAAGGAGGGAAACAGCGCTGCCGTACGTAAGCTTGGCATGAATGAATCCATGGTTCGGCGCTGGAGACGGCAGTGGGAAGAACTCATTCAAGCCAGCTTCACCCGGGGATGATGACAGCAACACGGACAGCGACACTGACATCGACACAGAAAAGGTATGTGACGAAGCTCTTCTGAGGCTGTCCAACTCCGACACTGAAGAAGAGGACTTTAATGGCTTTAGTGCGCAGGAGGAAGATGAGAGCGAATGACTTCTTCTGGTAGGCAAGTGTGTTTTATTTACTAACCAGGCATGTTTTGTGTGCAGTTTTAATTTTCTAATCATCCAGGGCTTATTAATGCTGAGTCAGCGCTGTTCTTTTCTTCTAAACATGCAAATTACCGGTAATAACGTGTCAGTGCTGTTTTTATTTTATAACCATCCAGAAATATGAATGCTATCAGTGCTGTTCTCTTTTCTAAACTTGCAGGCACGTTCACCCGTGTTTAAAATTAGTTTTGTTGAATTAAAATAACAACAAAAAACCTCCGTGTAGCGTCTTTCTGTCTAAGGCCGGGGACACACTGGCCGCGGAAGCGCCGCGAAGCGCCGCGAAAATGGGACCGCCTTCATTCGGCGCCCTTGTTAAGCTATTCTATAGACCACATGGGCCGCCGAAGCGCCGCGAATCGCCTCGCGCCGGCGCGCGCCGGCGCTCCAGCCCGCGCCGTGCAGCGATCATTTCGGCGTTGGCTCTATTTTTTTCGCGAGCCGCGGGTGAATCGCGTCAATTCTGGCAGGAAGTCAAACGTAGACATAAGAGGCAGGCCGGTAAAGTTAACAAAATAAAGCATTTCAAAATAAAATTCCGCAATAGTCAAATGTGTTCGTAAACAGACACTGCAGAAAAACCACACGAACACGCACACACATACACACACATCGAACTTGTGTGCGTGTGTGACCACGTGAAGGGGGGAGTGGTTTTGGGTGTCTTTTCACCGGAGCAAACAGGACAGAGAGGCAGAAAGTCTGAGGCAAGCAGTTAGGATGGATGACTTTAAATTAATTATGGAAGTTGAGAAACACAAGGAGCTGTACGACCCCCGAAAAACATGATTGTTTACGTACCCATGTCGGAAGAAACTGCTAGGATACAGCTGCAGAATTGGAGCGGGTTCCAAGAGATTCAACTGGCAGAAACAACTCATACCATAGGTTCACACACACACACGCGCGCGCGCGCGCAAGCGCACAAACACTAAACGTAGGAAAAGAGCTGAGAAAAGGCAGAGAGGAAATGGAGGACACCAAGTGTTTAAAAGAAAAACTACAGCTGAGCCGAGGCGCGCCTCGACTGGGGCGCGTCTGATCTGAACTGAGGAGCGGCGAGCAGCGGCCGAATTTCGTGAGCGATTCGCTTCTCGGCGCTTCGCGGCGCTTCCGCGGCCGGTGTGTCCCCGGCGTAATTATCTTATGTTATGGCCGTACATGCGCTGTGCGCCGGAGACCTGCATGTGGCTGCTGCGCAGCGGCTTGTATTTGAGTGCGGTGTGTGTAGAAAACCTTTTTTTTTTTGTTGGTGCGGCTTATATTGAGGTGTGCTCTATAGTCCAGAAATTACAGTAACTATATAATCCAAGACTAATCCTAATTTCTAGCATTCCCAGACCCAGTGGATATAGAGTCTCACATTCCTTAGTGGATATCAGTATTTCTATTCTTTTTGTGAAACCAGTTTAACGTCTATACTGCTGCTGGTTTGTCCAAAATACAAGCTGAAAAATAAGGTTCATGGATATTTTAGATTTTTGTTATTAGGGCCTCTGGTTTATGAAGACAATAGTTAAACATGAGGAAGATCTGGAACTAGCAGCAGGGTCTTTGAGGATTTCACCATTTTAATGTAATTCTAGTATCTAGGACACAAATTCTGGGTTACTTACTTTCTCTCCTGGAGGTCCAATAGCTCCCTGAGGTCCTGGCATTCCCTGCAAAAACAACAAATATAAAACCAATAATGTATTCTTTACTCTAAACGTCGTATGCAAATGCAGAAAAGACACACTGCTCTCCCCAAAGGGGATGCAGCCTGTAAATTACTATAGAGCACACTAGAGTTGGGGATTCTTCAGCAACACAGGAACAATAAAACTGCAGAAACGTCGGTCTGTCACATAAAGGCAATGATACCAGTGATGCAGCTTCTTACTCCTAAAAAACATCAAATGGCAGGTAGGTTGTCTCACCTGAGTTCCTGGAGTTCCCTGCTGGCCTGGAGGTCCGGGCTCACCTTGAGGACCCTGAGAGATAAAATAAAAAGTGACTGGAAGGTACAAAAGGAGTAGTAAAATTTATGAAATGACTGGTTGTACAGTTCAGATCCTACTTGTAAATAATTTGATAATTTCATGATGACATGTTAAAGTTGCTTTCCGGAGTTTTCCCGTTTAAGAAATGATGTATAATTTGTCAGAAATCCATAAAAGTGATTGTCTCATCCTGTGATAAAATGTAAGCGACATGTCTTGTTTTTTTTTTGCTAACCACGCCCCCTGCCCCGCAGAGCGCCGTGCAATAGGAAACTGAGCGCCAACCAGAACTAACCAATAGCGTTAGACTACCGCGTACGTGCTTCAAATTTAAGGAATACCTCGGCTGATGCAGAGTTGAGGAACTTTTCATGGACAAGAAAGTCTCTAAAATATAAATATGTGAGACCACAAAGGAGAATAATACTCGTAAAACAACGTGTTTTTGCTGTTTGTCGCTACAGAAGCACATTTATGAACAGAAATGTGAAGTCGCCATCTTAAAAAAACAGGAACAGCGTTCTTGTGTGATATGCTTGTCAGCCACTAGATGGTGCCATCGGATAAGAGAAATACTCCGGAAAGAAGCTTTAACCATTACTGACCACATTTCCTTTGGGACCATGAGGGCCATCATTTCCTCGTACACCCTGGAAGGAGAGAGAGAGAGCACACAGTAAAAAACATTTGCTGCCCATGTGAACAACTTCCTCACTGGTTTATATCAGAGCACTTTTCTGCAGGTAGAAAGTGAAAATGCCCTTTTTATTCTTTAATCGCAGCAAATCAGACACTGGTGATGAGAAAGTCCATCATTTTAAACATCAATATCTATAAAGTTCTGCTGTAATATTCTGATTCATGAAAACAAGATAAAAGCAAAACAAAAAAGTCACACTACACTAAAACAGCTGTTAGATATAAATATATGGCGTAGATGTCAAAAATGGCTGCCAGAATCCTCCCTTCAGCAGAAACTGAAGAACATCACATCCTAATTTCTGGATCAGTAGCTTTCCCGGCTGTCATATAAGGATACAGACTGTTGCTTCAGGCATGGCTGTGGGTGTTGTGTGGTTTACTTACAGGAGGTCCAGAGATTCCTGGAGGACCTTTAGGCCCGAGCAGACCACGGGGTCCCTAAAGACAAAGACAGAAACACATCTAGGGTAAGATAAAACTCAGTAACAGGGAAAACTCAAGGTCTAAAACAATACTCTCAAATTCAACTACCGTATTTTCCGCAGTATAAGTCGCACCAGCCATAAAATGTATAATGAAGAAGAAAACATATATAAGTCGCACTATAAGTCACATTTTGGGGGGAAACTTTATTACTTTTCTTACAAAATCTGAGACCAAGCGTTTCACATTGCAAGACAAGTACCGGTAATAATAACAGAATAAACAATCAGGGCGCAGCTGCGCGCCACGGTCTCCAGCAGAAGATGGCGGTGTTTCAAACCCTCCCAGTGGGTGGGGAGAGCGCCCGCAGTACCCCGCCTGCCACAGGCTGCAGCAGGTGATGGCGGTGTTTGAAACCCTCCCAGCGGGGCAGAGGAGCTAAAACCTGGACCGGAGCCGGCCCGCAGCAGCGCGCAATGGTCTCCAGCAGGTGATGGCGGGGCAGGGGAGCTCATTCCTGGTCTGGAGCCGGCCCACAGCAGCACGGTACACATAATTTGGTACATAAGTCACTTTGGTATATAAGTCGCAGGACCAGCCAGACTATGAAAAAAAGTGCAACTTATAGTCTGGAAAATATGTGAATAAATTATGTGTAAATATGCACAGCCAATAAAAATCAAAATGAGCTGTTAAATCTCTTTGGTTGCCATGGAAACACTCACGGGTTCACCTGGGAGACCCCTGGGTCCGACGTCTCCATCGTCTCCCTACAAACAGAAACAAGAGTGAATAAATGCTGACAAAACTGATATAAAGTAACACAAAGTAAGATTACTGAAGTATTTTAGATGTTTTTCTGTTTCAGTGCATACCCTCTCTCCATCTTCTCCTTGAGATCCTGGTGGTCCCATTGGTCCCGGGTCACCCTGACAAGATCCAAAGCAGAAGAAATCAGAACACAGAAAACTTCATCTACTTCCAAAAAACCCAAACAGTTATTCAAGCGTCGATGATATCACATGGATACATTACACATTACCAAGAACTTACCCTGTGTCCTTTGTCACCAGGCAAACCAGGAAGACCATCAAAGCCACGATCGCCCTGAGACGAACACACAAACCATAAGGCACAACGACTACACCAAACAGAATAGATAAAAAACACAAATATTTATTATTTAGGGAATAACCTGTGTTTTTATTTGACAAATATGATAACAGAGTGAATACTTTACTTTAGATCCGGGCTCTCCGGGCATTCCCCGAGGCCCATCAGCACCAGCACGACCCTGAGAGCACAAGCAGACAATATTAAAATGTTTTAAAACTTTAAATGTAAAGTTTGTTTTTACCAACTAAAACAACCCAAATAAGATTCTGTTTGGTCGTGTTTGCAAAAAAAGATTACAGGACCAAAACGACCTTATAAAAAAAACACAAAGAGCTATCCTGGACCTCTGAAAAAACACAAGTGTTTGTTACAAACTATAATCACTGTGTTAGCATGTGTAGAATCTGTGATAACAACTAGGGCTGCAACAAACGATTATTTGGATAATCGATTAATCGGATGGGGTCTCGACACGATTAATCGGATTACATAGGGACATTTTTTAAACCTGCTAGGGAAACGTTATTTTTCTCTTTCCTTCACTTTATTAAACACAACATTATTAGAAAACAGTTCAATAGCAGAAAAACAACATGCCATCACCTAAATTGTCTTATAAGGTGTATAGACAGAGACCCTAAGCTACACCTATCTGTGACCTAAAATGCTTGGTCCAAGTTAAACAGCTTAAAGAGCAAGTCAACCCCTACCAGAGTCTAACTCCACTCCTACTTCATGTTTGAAAAATGCAACACATGCTGTTGCCTGGCAGACCGAGAGGGCGGAGCCGCTAACAAATACACACACACTCAGGCTCACGACAGCATTGTGACATCATAATGTACCAGTTTACATCATAGCATACTTCTTAGCCAATAGCGGTGGCTGATTTAAATTAAAATACAGTGCAGAGTTTTTACCTGACAACGGCACAACACTGCCAGTTTTAGGCAGAATATTTAAATTTTAACTAAGATGCACTGAAGTGCCAAATTATTGACGACACGTGTCTGCAGCACGATTAGACACTCGTTTATTTAGTTTATCAGCAAAAAAAAAAGTTTATTTGGGGGTGACTTGCTCTTTAAGGGCAATTCTCATCTGTTTTGTTTGATCTCATCTGTAGACATTTATTATAATTGGGGATGTCAAACAACTAATTTTTAAATGTAATTAAACATAGGCTGTGAATTAATCAAAATTAATCACTATTTCCAAAAATGACTGAAAAAAACCCCAAATAAAACAAAAGTAAATGAATGCCATCCTCCTTGCGATGATGCCCTGGGCAACTGCCATAAAGTCACATCAAGAAATGCTGCTGATCATTCCAATGATCCCAAATAGACTCACATTAGTCCACATGAAAGCAACTGAACCCAAAAATATATTAACCAGTATATAACTGCACTCTCACACAACACGCCTGCAGCAACAGTTAGGACTCCTCCCTCCCTTTTAAAAGCGTTTTCGCTTCTGAGGACATTGTGAAGCCACATGTTAGTCTGGCCCCGGTGTGATCAACCAGTTTCTGCGGGAATGTGACGGCGGAACCGGTTCGCAGCGGCGCGAGTCCAGTCCGTCCCCCCCCCCCGCCTATCTAATAGCGTCGCGCTTACAATTTTATAGACTTTTTTTAACGAGCTTAGAGCATGTCTAGCCTGTGTAATAATCCGGGGCTTGGGTGAATCACTTTTGAAAAGTTTTTAACTTACCCGGACACCGAGCTCTCGCCTTCCTCGCTGATGATTCTGACATGCTTGCGTTTAAGACGCTGCATCATCACCGTTGTATCCCCGTGCCATGCTAAGTCTGACCTACAAACGTTGCATGTCTTCGCCTGATTTAACTGAAAATGCTCCCAAACTTTAGAAATTTTTACTTTTTGGGGGTCTCGCTGCTTCTGCCATGTTCCTCTAACAAACACCTGCCGGCTCTGCACCGGTCTGCGCGCAACGGCGGGCAGGAGGGGAGGGGGCTTTTGGAAGAGTTGCGCAACACAACGAATCGATGACGCAATTCGTTGCCAACGCTTTTAGTAATCGATTTTCATCGAATTTATCGATTCGTTGTTGCAGCCCTAATAACAACAAATACAACAAATAAAAACTAAACAGAAACAAAGTGGCTGTTTCTACTCACTCTTCTTCCTGATTTACCCGGAGGACCCAGCAACCCCTGTGATCCTCTGGGGCCCTAAAAACAAACAAACAAACAAATGTCTGTGATTGGTGGCCGGTATAAATGATCAACACCAGTTTGGAGAAGCGACTGGTTTACCTGAGGACCAGGATCTCCACTTTCTCCCTTCAGCCCAGAGCTTCCTGGACTTCCCTACAACAAATGAAACAATTAATTTGTTGACATCCATATTTAAATGAAAACAATTACATTTGCAACACAAAACAAAATCATAAAAAACTATATGTGTCTGAAATCTTTGGGCCAGCGCAGTTCAATGAAACATAACAATAAAGAGTTCATGAATAATCTGTTGAGTAAAACATTGTTAACAATAAAAAAAAAAACCTCTTGGTATAAACAACAAAACAAAAGGAAACATACCACAGGTCCAGGGCGCCCGGTGAATCCCATTGGTCCAGGAGGTCCTTTCAGTGCCATCTAAAGAAAGTTACATCTCTAAATCAATAGTGATGATGTGGCTGTTTATCAGGAATCTGTGGCAGAAATCTTCTTTCTAAATCAGAAATATTTTCTGTAGGTTTTACGTTAGCAGCCTGTATTAAACTTTCAGCCCAAGTTTCAATTGTCACAAATTTAATTTGTATTTTGGTGCATTTTTCTAATTAAAATGGCTTTTTCTATGCAAGGAAAAATAAAACCTGCCCAAAATGGTATAAATCTATTTCTAACTGGGTAACAGTAAAGCATCAGACATCCCCTAAGTGCACAGTGAACAGGTGACATAAAAGTTTCTGACTGACCCTAGCCTGAGACAAGATTGCGGCTGCCTGGGCCTCCTGTGCAGAGACAACGGGACCCTTATCGCCGCCGCCCTGCCCAAAACGGAACTGCAAAGAAAGGAAGAAAAACAGAAGATATGAAGCAGATCCGTGTGTCGAATCGGAGACAATATAACTGAACAACAAAAACTAACAAACAGAACCCAAAATGTCTTTGTAAGATGTAGCTGATTGACCAAATTGGTTGAGCGACCATAATGAAAATTCCATATATCAGTCTGAGTTAAACACAAAACGACTAAATCTAGTGAAAATGCAGAATCACACCGTAATACTTCCACAGGGTTTTAGATGTGTGTAGACCCATGATCAAAAGGTACAAGTGACTCACAGGAAGCATGACTGAGGTTCCAGGAGGTCCAGGGACTCCATCAGCCCCAGGCAGACCAGCTTTACCAGGAGGACCCTGCAGGGTGAAGAGGATTGATGAAGCTGACAGAAGTGCAGAAAAAGCTCTAAAATAGCAGTAATTACTCATTCCTCAGAACTACTGGTGCACAAATCTGCCCTGAATAGAATAAAGAAGAAAATATTACTTACCCTCTCTCCAGGATCTCCCACAGAACCAGGAGGTCCAGATGATCCAGGAGGTCCAGACGGTCCCTTGAAAAGGAAATGTAGGATTTGTATATTTTTCAGCAGAGTAGAAGTGCAACTTAAAAATACCAGTTGAAATGAGGAAAATCTTAAGGTCTAATAATTTTCATAAAGACTAAATAAATATGACGGACTTACTGCAGGCCCTTCAGGCCCTGGGGGACCTTCTATTAACATGCCCTAAAATGGACAAAATAAATAAAACAACTGAGAATTAAAAAAAGAAAGAAAACAGAATGCACCTTGCAGAAATCTAATAATAGGAAATAATTTAAAATATAAACACAATAAAACAGAATACTTCTCAAATATGAGCTGAATAAATAACTGGCCAAAAACCTTGGAGTCTTTCTCCAATTTTAACTTCTAATTATTGGCTCCTTAAAAAACCCAGAATTCATATCTTATGATGGGGTAAAGTTTTCATCATTTTACAAAATCAGACCCTCTAAATAAAAAGCTCAAGAGAATTTGCGACTCACAGGCTCCAAAACTGCAGGTTCTCCCTTTTCTCCTTTCTGGCCTCTAAAGGCGGCCTGAGGGAAAACACAAGTACCCAGGAACATAGTTCTGTCATTATAAACATACTTACACAGAAAACTGCAAAGCAAAACAAAAGTCTAGTTCATTAAAATATACGACAGGCACCAAGAAAATAAACTAAAACGTTTCCTGTATTATAGTAAAAGAACAAATTTACAACCTGTGTTGTTGTGAAAGGCATGAAAGCCTTCCTTCAAACATCATTGACTATTATGTTGTAGGAGCTAAAAGCAGTGTTTTGCGTACGTGCATGTTGACATGTTGCTTATCAATGCCAGCCGGTTATCAGGCAGCCCAGCTGCTGAGTACATGCTCCAAAAACATGTTGATCTGCCCAGCTTATGTAAGTTTCAACTACTTTTGACCATATTAGGATGTGGAAGTAGCACCCCATCATTTCTCAGAATCAAAAGGGAGGTGGGGGTTGAATAGTATAACTGATGCTGCGTGGTGTAGGAGAGGGGGCTTTTGCAGAAGGATCTCCAGCCGAGGTGTTTAGATCGAAGCTGGACGCTGTCCCCTGTGAAGTGTTGGTGATGTATGGATGAGTTGTGTAAATAAATGCCCCCCGCTGAGTTTGGACAAAACCTGTCTCTTTCTTGTTTTTGATAAGGAAAAAGAACCACATTTGGCGACCATGAAGGTGGAGAAGAGGTGTGCTCTTCGGATCGTTTCGCAGCCCACGGAATTTAAACTTCTGGGCCCTAGGTAAGAACAGTTTTTGTTCAATTTTGGAGTTATTCCGTGGACTGAGAACTGGTCTGAGAAAAAAAAAAAAAAAAAAAACATGCCCTTCTCATAAATTAGAAGTTATAATAACAAGAAGAGGCGCTTGTCCAGAGCAGCGGTGAAATTATTCACACATGTGTGAAGTCAGCTGAGTCATTTTGATGACGGACAAAGTTTGTGACAAATTAAAAGCTGGGACAGCGAGAATTGGAATAGAATTTGACAGCTGATTAAAGTCCAGTGAGGACAAGTGAACGAGGTCGACAATTGAGATCCAGTAGGGTGCCTCGGTGAAGCCGGGCAACGACTGGGATCTGAGAAAAAGCGCTGAAGTTGTGACAGATAAGCTTGCCAGTAATTCGGTTGAATCCTCGGGGATTGGTAAATTTCATGAGTTTTTGGCAAAGATATGTTTGACGTCAGAGTTTGCAGCAAAGTGGCTGTAAACAACTCTAGAGCTCAGAAATTGTTTGTTTGTGTGAGTGTGTTTGTGAGAGAAGTTTTGTGGGTGGGACAGGCGTGTGAGATAAGCGTGTGTGTGTGGAGGAGATAAGAGTGTGTGCGAGTTGAGAAGTGGGTGCGTGAGTTGAGAAGGTGTGTCAGGCGCCAGAGAATTAGAGGAAAAAAGAAAAACAAAGGAGTAATACAGATCAATATTGTTCACTGCAGTGCCAAATTTTGATGTTTAATGTTATACAAATTTCAAAGTCTGTGATCTTGTTCTGATTAGTCTTTAAACAGAAAACCAGAAGTTAAAATAATTAGTTTTAGAGTGACATATATATAAATAAAAATATATGCTGAAGTGCACAAGCATGATAACTATTTTTACCAGCTGGGTAATGTGAAATATGAGAAATATAGATTATGATTAATAAATAAATAATAATGTTTATGCGTGTTGAGTGTGTGGCATAAAATGATGCTTCGGTGTCAAATTGCTTTGAAGTGTGTTTTTCTTATCTCTATGCAAGTGTGAAAGCTTTGCTGTGTGTGGTTGTTTTACTCGTGAAAGGTCAAATACTCTGATCTTGTTTGGGCTGTTGCTTGGATGAACTGGAGAGAAGCTGATTCTTCTTCTGCTGATTCGGTCTCTCTTGTGGTTGACTTTTTCCTGTGTTGTGATGCTATAAAGCTGTATGAGAGTTGCTAAAATCTGAAGGCTTAATGCTCTTGGGTGTCGTCAGCGTGTTCGTTTCTCCGTAGACACCCTGAGCTGTCAGACCCAAGTTTAGACTGAGCAGAGGGGCCAGTCCAGAAGCGCAAAGCTCCACCTACAAGCTGTCCTCTCCATACACACGCACAGACACAGAAGTACAGAGGCGATCCCGCCTCTGACTCCACCTCTGTGTGTGGATAGGTTGGTGAGCCAGAGGGCGTAGAGAAACCCCACCCTGTGGGCTGAGTTTTGCTCACACACAAGCTTGAGATTCAGCATAAGGCTATTTTTAGCCTGCCACTGCACAGCTGCTGAGGAAAAAAAAAAAAAGAAAAAAGGGAAAATAATACATATTGAATCCAGATTTAAAAGGTTCACCTATAAAAACTTTCAGGCATTAAGTTTTTCTTTCAACAATAACTAAAGCTTTTTGAACTAACTTTACTTTAGTGTTACATCAGAAGAGATTTGATTTTAAGGCATTTACAATAAGAAGATAAATTGTTCAACATTTGTGTAAACAGAGCAACAACAGATTACTCAAGACCACAGCATCATATGTCACCAGTATCTGTTTCAACTTTCAATTCTTGTGTTATTTTCAGGAGATTATAAATAAACAAACTAGTCAACTAATCAAAGGAATAATAGTGTCACTGAAACTTCAAAATGTCTGTCACGCCAGCAGGAATTTTGGCAGCGAAGAATCCTGCTTTAGCAAAAGAAATAAAGCACATGTCAGAGAAGTGGTCAAAACGGACGAGAAAACTATGCAATCCGTGGCCATCTGAAGGCACTTTTGACGTAGTGGCGTGCGATAATTTGGAGTTGAGAATTCAGGATCATAAAGCAGATGGATCTAAGAAAAGACAGCAGAAAAGAGAAAAAGAAATTCAGATCCTGGACTTATTCAGGAATGAAGGAAAGATTTACAGACAGAACTTTAAACATGCCATTCTTAAAATGAAAGACAAATTGGACAAACCCCAGAAGGAAGTGAAGGCCCCAGCAGAAGAGGGCCTGTATCCCCTTTTGGGAACCGTTACAATTACGGGAGATTTTGATTTGCGCGACACATTCGACAAAGGTCCTAAGGGTTTAGATGTTGACAATGCAATTTTAAAATTAACAACATCACAGCAATCAGATGAAGCACCTGGCAAAGAAAAGCATGCAAAAGGAAGTGAGGAAAGAGAATTCGAACAAACAACTCCACCTCGTGGAACGCATCCAAAATATTGCAGTACAGAACGTCGAGCGGTAAGGGAAGAAGGACGAAGGGAGATTGATTGTTTTGCAGAACATAAGGATTTTTTTGAAAAGGCAACCGAAGGCTAACTCATACTGGATTGACCTTGAGAACAAGGATGAGGATGTACATGATGAGCTAAACGATGTTGACCAAATTATACAGGACATATCTGAAGGCCTGCGGAAATCCTTAAATCACATCACAGGCACACATTCAGATGAGGTTAGTGAGAACACCACTAGCACAAGCAAGGAGAAAAATTTCAAGCCTTTTTACAAACCAGGCATTCACTCACCAGAGCGTGGTGACCCAAATACAGGTCTGACTCAGGAGAAGGAAAAACCAGGTCCTAGCAGTGAAAGCCGTGAGCTGAGACCCAGACATGACTTAAAACCACCTATTCGATACACTAATGATGGTCAGTACCCAATTTTAATTAAGGGCACAAGAGCTAATTATATTCCCTGGCAGAGCCTCGACCTCACTGGTTTGGTTTCACGGCTGCCCCACATTCAAGATGGCGCGGGAAGGTGGATTGGGGCCTTCGAACAGGAGACAACTGGGCTAATGCTTGCCCTTGGAGATCTCAAAGCTATTTTGGCTCGAGTTGTTGGGACATCAGCTATGGGAACATTGCTAGCATCCAATGGAGTCCAATGGATGCTGGACCCAATGGCTGACGGCACGGAGTTTAACACATACAGAAATGCACTCTGGAACATACTAAGAGCAGCATATCCCAACAGGATTGACCCCAAAGCTTTGAAAGGTGAGCCACTTTCAGAGACTGAGAGTCCTGCGTCATTTGTTGACAGGCAGCTCAGACGGTGGAAGCTGGAGACGGAGGAGGGTCCTGAGGGGACGCCGATAATGACTTCTCTGTTCCGAACATCCCTGATTTCTGCTCTCCCGACTCCTGTGCGAGACAAACTGGAGGATGTTGTGGGACTGGACTCAATGCCACATGTGCAGTTCAGAGACCATGTAGTCCACGCAGTGGACCGCTATCGGAAAGACAATAACAAAATGATTGAGCAAGAAAAGTGCGCTCAGAGAAAACTCACGCAGTTGCACATAAATGATCTCCAGCACAAGGCGAAGACCCAGGCGGCAGTGGAGAAAAGTGACAGCAAGAGTGACAGTCAAACTCAAGCATTGCAGACAGCTGTGGCCCCGCCTCAAACTCCATCTCAACCGGTTATCAATGTCTACCCAAACCAGTATGGTAGACAGCAGCCCGGACCACAGAGACGATTTCCAAATCGTTTCCCCAATCGCTACCCAACCCGACAAGGCTGGGTGCAGCAGAACCGACCCCCACTTCCAGGTTCATGTTGGGGGTGTGGCCAGATGGGTCACCTGTATCGAGACTGTCCGAATCCAATTCCAAACCCTGAATGGTCTGGGCGTGGTCGTGGAACACGACCAAACCGGGGAAGAGGAGGTCCAGTTAATCCATGGGCAGCACAACAAGGATTCTAGGGATGCCCGGAGGGCCCTGGGGGGGAGGAGCAACTACCAATTTTAATAGCTAACGCCAATAAAGAACCAGTGATCAATGTTAAAATAGAAGGCAAATCGGTCCCAATGTTAGTAGATACTGGGGCAACCTACTCATGCATAAAATCAAATTATGCAACTCATCTCCCCATGTCTGAGAAAAGCGTAAAGACAACAGGGTTCTCGGGAACAAAACAAATAAACCCCTTAACAGCTCCAGTAAGACTAGCAGTTGATGACAGTGAAATCGTAATTCCAATCCTGATTTCAGACCAAACTCCAGTTAATCTACTAGGAAGAGATGCATTGTGTAAACTAAAAACAAAAATCTGGTGCACACCAGAAGGAATTTA